AGTGGACGTCAGTGATTCATAGGATTCACTGGAATTATTTCTACTTGATGATCTATGAGGAGAAGAGGAGGTTGAACTATTATTGCTTGTATTTTCATAATCCCTGTTCAATTGCTCTGTTGGGTTATTTTCAGGTATCTGAACTGAGGGAGCTTTTATTTTTTCATCATCACAATACTTATTTGTGTTTACTTCCCCTTCTTCCGGTTCCTTGTCTGAACCTTTTTTAATTTGATCCAGATGACGTCTCCAACATTGACCATTTGGTAATTTGCAGACATAATTTTTATTACCAACTACTTCTTTGATTACCGCTTTTGTCCACTGACATTTGTTTTTCTCCCTGTAGTCCCTAATCATTACTACCTGTCCCTCTTTAAAATTCTCTCGTCTACCCCCTTGGTGACTAATACTTCCATTATCCACCCTTGGTTTGAGTAAGTCAAATACTGTTCTAGCATTCCTACCTATCATAAGCCTGGATGGTGTTTCATTTGTGGCACAATGTATTGATTTTCTATAGTTTAAAAGATATCTACTAATAATCAAATTAGTTGAACTAAATTTATTTTTAGGATCTATTAATGTTGCTTTCAAAGATTTTTTTAAAACTACGCACTGCATTTTCGGCAGCCCCATTAGTGGCTGGATGGTATGGTGCTGATGTGATTTGCCTAATACCATTTTTTGCCAAGAATTGTTTGAACTCTGCTGATACAAACTGTGTACCGTTGTCTGATACTATAGTTTCAGGGATTCCCCAAGTACAAAATATTTCCCTTAGCTTTTCAATCGTTTCTTCTGAAGTAATTCGATCCATGATTTTTATTTCTGGGTACTTACTAAACGCATCTAAAATCAGAAAATAAACTTTACCTTTAACTGGTCCTAGAAAGTCTACATGGATACGTTGCCATGGTTTAGAAGGCCTATTCCAGGACATTACCTCTGATTTGGCTGGATTGTTTGCAATTGTTTGGCATGGCAGGCATGCTAAGCAATTTGCTTCAATGTCCTTGTCCAAGTTTGGCCAATAGAAGTACGACCTGGCAATGGATTTCATTTTTACTATCCCCCCCCAAATGACTACCGTGTAGTTCTTCTAATAAATGTTCTCTAAATTTCTGAGGTATAATAACTCTATATCCCCACATTATACAGCCTTGCTCTAAAGTTAACGCCAATTATTTTTTAAAGAATGGCATAATCGCTTGTTCTTCCATCTTATCTGGCCAACCCGATGATACATAACTGAAAACTTTGGATAGTGTTAAATCTTTCCTAGTTTCTAGTGCAATTTTTTTATAATCTATTGGAACGTCGCCCGAAACAATCATATTTAGATATGATGAGTTTATTTCATCATTGGTATCAATATATTGTATGTCCAAAGGATGTCTGCTTAACATGTCTGCCATGTAATTGCTTTCTCCCTTAATGTATTCTAGTTTATATGAGAATCCCGAAAGGAATACTGACCAACGTTGAAGCCTTGAAGCCGCCATTTGGGGAATACCTTTAGTTTCACCCAAGATAGACACTAAAGGACGATGTTCTGTCTGTATTATGAAATTTTGTCCCATCAAATACTGATACAACTTTTTGACTGACCAATAAATTGCCAAAGATTCTTTGTCAAGTACCGAGTAATTTTTTTCGGCCGGCATGAGTGACCTTGATATGAATGCCACAGGCCTCAATATACCCTTTTCATCTTTATTAAACAAAGCACCTGCTATACCTTCTTGGCTAGCATCTGTTTGCAAGATTATTGGCAGCTTTGGGTTGAAGTGTGCCAGTATTTTATCTGAACCGATAATATTTTCAATTTCCTGAAAAGCCTGATTACAAGAATTTGACCAAATGAATGTTTTATTTCCTTTCAACAAGTCATAAATAGGTCTCATTAGAATAGCTAATTTGGGTACAAACTTACAATAGTAATTTACTATGCCTATGAAACTTTTCACTTGAGTGACTGTCGTTGGCCTAGGTGCATTAATTATAGCCTTTTGTTTGTCTGCACTTTTCTTTAGACCATTTTTTGAAATTATAAATCCTAAGTAGCAAATTCCATCTTGGAAAAAAAGAACATTTACCTTTGTTTAATTTGAATCCTGCTCCTTGTAATTTCATTAAAACTTTTCTAAGATTCTCAACATGTTCCGACCTAGTATTGCCTGTTACAATGATGTCATCTAAAAAATTAGCTGTATTTTTACAACCCTGTAGTAATTGTTTCAACACTTTTTGAAATATAGAGCTTGCTGGAGTAATGCCATAAGGCAATCTGTTTACTGAGAACAGCCCTTTATGTGTGCTCCAAGTCAAGATCTTCGCTGAGTCCTCATCTACACTTATTTGGTTATACGCATAACTCAAATCCAATTTTGTGAATGATTCTCCCCCACTCAACATTATGAATATGCTTTCAATTATAGGAAGAGGATATTTAACTGATTTCAAATACTTATTTGCAGTTGACCTGTAATCCCCACATAGTTTTAATGAACCATCATGTTTGATAATAGGTACCAATGGTGTACCCCAATCCGATGTTTCAACTGGAGTAATTACACCTTCTTTTTGAAGTCTACTTAGTTCATCCTCAACTCTTCCCTTCAAAGCTAGTGGTATTGGTCTGGCTTTCAAAAAAATTTGTTGGGCATTATCTTCTAGTTGTAACTTAATTTTTTTATACTTCTAACACCCCAGAGAGCTTTCAAACACCTCTTTGAACTCTACACATATGTTTTCCACATCATTGTTTTGAAGGTTACATACATCAGTAATCAATCTGAATTTAAACTTACCTAAAAAATCCCTACCTAGTAGGTTTTGTGTGGGGTTGTCATTTTCAACTATTTGAAAACAAAAATTTTTACAAATCTTGTTGCTGTACTCTACATCAATATTGATACATCCCAAAAGTTTCATTTTACAACCTGAATAACATCTTAATGTCAAGTTTGAATCTAGTAAATCTAGATTATTTAATGATTGTTTATATGTATCAAATGTCAACACTGATATTGCCGCCCCCGAATCAACTTGACAGGATAATTTTACATTGTTTACATAAATATCTAAGGATATTGGATAATCATTGCTAAAATAAATATTGTTAATTTCTAGCACATCCTCATCAATGTCTAATATGTTCTGTCTTGCCCCACCACTGTTAACCCTACATACCTTGGATAGATGTCCTATTTTTTTACAAGTATTGCATTTGTACGTGGCATACTTGCAAAGTTGCTTTCCTGTATGGACTCGTCCACAATCTTTGCATTTCCATTTACCAACTGTGTTGCTTTGTTCTTGATTCCCATCATAGTGTACTTGAATTTTACCCTGCTTCTTATGGACAAAGTTCACTTCCTTCATTTCTGACATCATTGAAGCTTCCTTGTTCAGTGCTAGCTCTAATAGTTTGTCCAACTTTGTACTGGGTTTTTCTTCACATAGACGGTCTCTGATTTTACCAGGCTTCATACCACAAATGAATTTGTCTAATAATGCTGATGATAACAAGTTCCCAAATTCGCAATTCATTGATAGGTTGTGAATTCTTGTATACCATTCATTAACAGATTCTGATTCATCTTGTCTGGCCTGATAGAAGTCGATTCTTTCTCTATACATACAAGTTGCTGCAGAAAATCTTGTCTTCAATAGTTCACACAGGGCATCATAACCTTTATCCTTGGGTTTTGTTGGTGTGCATAAGTCTCTTAAGGTTTTTTATGTTTCCATACCAATCAAACTGAGGAGTGCTGCGACTATTTTATCTGGTTGTCCAGCCTCTGTTGTTGGTCCAATATTGTTTATTGAAAAAAATTCTTTTAATTGCTCCTGATAGAGAATCCAGTTATCCCTTTTTGGATTGAAACTTTCTATTGAGTCGATTAGCGCCATTTTCTTTACCACGATGTTGATCCAGTTTAACCTCAAATTCCGTTTTTGATAAAATAGTCTATTAACTATTATTTTTCCTTGGAATTTCAATTTGTCCTCGTCGCCAAATAATATGTTGTATCTTTTAATAAATAAACTTCCAGAACTTACTTCTTGAAATGCTTTTATTTATTCTGAAGTTTTATACAATACCTGCTCGATTCCCCGTCTTCAGATAGAGAGAGAGAGCGAGGATAGCTTGATTTTCATTTCGGCTATCAAACTATGCTAATACCAACTTATAACAAATAAATACACTAATTATAAATTGATCCTGGATCTGACTAATGTGACGACATGACGTCAATACACTACATTTTTCACACATACAGGTTATTTAAGTTAGTCATTGCTTATAATAATTTCTGCCAAATACGGACTTGCCCTAGTTTTTCAATTCTGCTGGGATTCAAAAATTAGGAGAATAAGAAATAGTTGATGATTTCATGGATCTAAAGTAAACAAGTGTCGTTTGGGGACGACAAATCATTTTTTTTTCAATTTTGTACCATCTCACTATTGAAACCTCTAGATTTGACTCAAGTTGATAGGTAAATAAGTTGTATGCGGAAACATCAAATACATTAAATCTCACCTCTTTTTTTCTGCTCTCTCCAAATTTGTAAATGAAATTTCAAAATATTGACATACAAGGTGTTGTTTCGACTTGAAGCCTACTTATCAATTTCTTCAAGGCAGGCCTTGAAACATGACATTTTTTATTATGTCAATCGTCACCACTGTGGACAAAGAACAAACAAACCAAATATCAAAAAATGTATAGGGTCGCTCATAACTTAAGATTAATTGAAAAAATTGGAGAAATCAATAAATAACACTGTACCTTGGTTTTAAAGAATGATAGACCCATGAAATATAGATTATTCAGAAGCAGCTCGCACCCTGTAGGCGCATTTCCCAATGAATCACCCTGATCCCTAAGCCTATCAATGTAGAACTCATATAAATATTTTGGAATTTTACATAATATTATCTTCGACCGCCAGCTCTTCAGAATACTGAATATGTATTTTTCGTTTTAGAATGCTGAAAGAAAACTAGAAGGCAACACTGCCGAATACAGTGATTCTGATCCATCAGATTCCGAAAGTTCTTCTGACGAGGAGAACATGGATGGGCCTTGCAAAGTTCTGGATTCTTCAGATGAGGAAGATGAGCAACCTGCTCGTATACGCAAACATGATTATCAGAATGTAAGCCAACTAGAATGGGATAATTCCACCATGTAAGAATATTTCAGGCCACTGAATGCAGGTTCTGAAAATTCCAAATAACTTGAAATGCTTCAATAATATCCACAAAAATTAATGAAACCTGCATTACGAGGGATTAGTGAATATTATCAACAGCACTCCTCAACAAAAGCAACCAAATCAAAGGGATTCCAAGTTGTGTAAGAGAGTTTTGAGGAATCTGCAATCGGTTGAGTTCTTGTAATATGGTGTGATGCAATCCTAATGTAAGTGCCATAGACAGCACTCACAATGCCGTACGTATTAAAAACAACAGTATGCCTAGGAAGACAGCTTTGATTCAACAAATTGCAGTGCTATATGCTTTAGCATTATTTTATTGTCGTTTGTTTTTATAACATATGGCATTTGATATCAATAAATTAATCGTCCATATTTGTTAGAGACATATATACAGTTCGTTGTATATGTATGTATCTATACGCCCTTTTTAGCTAGTATTCATCATATTCACTATCTTCTACTTTAGAATTTGCTATAAGTTCACATTTTTTACCCTCCTTTTTTTAAGTTCAAAATGAGTATTGTTGATTTTTCAGAATTATTTCACTGTGTTAATCAAAGGAGAAGAAAATTTAATAGACTTTATAAACTTGTTGAATCTGTATACTCGACTGTTTTTTTTTTAAATTTTAATCTACATTATTTTTATGCCTAGAGTACAGGCCTATTACCGATTTTATATTTACTTCTAGGTTCAGGTAGTTTGAATTCATTTTTATTGATTTGAGGAATCATTAACAATTAACATGTTTTACTAACTAATTAATTATTTTGAGTATTATTTTACGACGCTTTTTTGTACTTACCTACATATTTTAGTATACAAGATTTTTTTTGCTTCTATGTCTAATTCAATAAAAAATCCATCATATCAATTTTTCTAAAAAGTGCAATCAATTTTCACCCTTTTCGTTATATTTTGATCATTATCAACAAATGATACAACATATTTTGAATTCAGTTCTTGAAAAAACTGATTTTATTAACAATATTGATGTACCTATGCAGTTTCTTGACTTTGGTCACAACTCAACTAGGTACTATCAGTTGAAATACAGGGTCTGGTAGAATGATCTTCCTAATAATAATAACTAATAAGCATAATGATTAAACTCGAAAATTGACTCCACTATAAGAAAGAACAAATTGGGCCTATTATGAATTATTGAATGATGTAATTGCTTTTGTAATTTTGGTGACTGAAAGACAGATAAATAATTCTTCAGTCGATCAATCTTCTACTGCCTGTGTTTTGTCAATTTAATTCTTCAGAAATCACAAGGTAAAAAATCTAGTGAACAAGCTTTTGTGTGGGACGATATTTATCATTTCACACCATGATGGCTTGATGCTTTTGATGGCAACCAAAATGAAAATGTTAATCTTCCGTAGGTCAATTTCAAAACAGAGAAATCATTCTTTTGGATCTTGTGAAAGCAGTAACATTTTTTCCAATCGTCAGACTTGCAATTAAATTGATATGAATAGAACACCTATCAAATCCGTCCATTTCTAGTTAACCAATCGTAGTAATATCACATAATAAGGAACTGAATATTTTTCTCATGTATAAAAATCATGGTGCGATTATCCAAATATCCTGAATGCACTGTTTGTGCATTGTAAGATACATTGTACTACAGATATTAATGTTTGAATGCCTATGGAAGTAATATTTTATTGAATGTGTTCATTCTTCACTTTTTCGATTTGTTCCCATTGTCTTGATCCAGAATAAATTCTTGAAGAAAAGCATTTGGATATTATAACTCATTACCATGTAAATTCATTCTGCTAGAATTACAACACGCCCGATGAATAATGGATAATTTTGATACATCTATGCAGTTTCCCAATAAATTCTTCTCGATAATTGATGGAACCGTGATATGAGATTTTTGACAAGGGAATTGACTCTATTCTATACTTATATAGCCTCAGTTACCTCTTATTCATATGATTTCTGTATACAGTGTATACAGTTCTTCATCAATACCTCTAGAAGGATACAAATCTATCTTTTTAACAATATACCTAGTATATTCTGGGTTCACATGTACTTGATAATGATAGGAAGTACTGCTATTGAATCAAGACCAGATAATCATTAATGAAAAATGGGTTTGATAGTTGTGACCTTGTTAGTTTTGACAACTTGACTCCTTGTGATCTCTGAGTCTACGTTCTTCTCAGGAAAGAAAAAAAACATTACCAACAACTCTTCTCCATCAACATCTGAAACCACCAATTTTTGTATACAGGGTGTACCAAGAAATTTGGTCAGTATCCCAGATGTAAGAAGGATCAAGATAATTGTGATTTTTTCATACAGGGTTATTATGAGATATCCAACCATTTTACATAAACAAGGTTTCATTCCAGGAGATACACGATTTTTGAGTAGAGTTCATTTGAACATGGAAAAAACATGTCATGAATCATGCATCATATTTGAAACCAACACAGAACGAGAGACAACTCTTCATTAAAATTTCAAATCAGAGTTGTGAAAGTGATTATTCAGATTTTACTTGAAATTGATGTATCTGATCGAAAGATAACATGTTTACCATTTTTTGTGACTATTTTTTCAAATTCATAATCTGAAACCACTTCGTTTGAAAATAAATTTTGATAACTGCATTCAGTGCAATTATCAATCACTATGAAAACACGATAGACTTCGACAACTTCAAATTGTTTTCTGCCGAATATCCCTCAGACATTGACAAATGTCTCATAAGTTTATGAAAAATTTCTCAAGCTCGTTGCTTGGAGCGAGCTTTCGATTGTCATAAAATTATCTCGTATATTATCAATGTTCTAGGGATATTACTACTGATAACATACTTGAATAATCAATGGTCTCATCTAACTCATTTTCGCCCTATTTGATATGCCCCTGAACGAGACTCAGCATTTAGTGTACCTACTGTATTGGGGATAAATGTTGAGACTGTCCACAAAATTCTCTTCTCCCCGAAGGGGTCAAATCTTTGCAGTGATGAGTTTACGATAGATAAAACTAGCTCGCTTGTGGGGATTGCAGCAAAGTAAAGGCTAACTCATTACAGTTTGTCCGAGCTTTCGGAAATGTATATTTCCATCATCAGGGCGACTACAATAGAAATTGAATGTGTACATTGACAATTATATTGAGGATTGATCATATGGTACTCACACTATTTGAGGATGATTACAATGGTGTTATAAATTTTTGAAAGTCGATGAAACTTTTTTGGAGAAGGCAATGTCACGAAAAATTTAAAAATATTTTTGTAAAAGACGAAGAGACGGATATTACATAATTTTCTACAGTAATTCAAAAATATTGTTATCACCAATTGAAACATTCAACATTTTATACAACGTTTTTATCACGTTGGTCAACTTTGAGGTTGACTACTTCTTCACTTCTGCCAAAGGATGAATTATGGTTTGATAGTACTATGGATGTAGTGCCTGGCGTTCTAAAGCTTTCACAACTCTAAGCATAACACTTTTTAGGCAAAAATGGAAAGGAAGCAGAGAATCATGTCATGAAATGAAATTTAGTGAATGTTCGACAAACTTAGTCCTTGACTTTGCGAATAGGGGCAAGAAAAAACAAAAAACAAGGAGTACTTGGATGTTGTGAATTATATCTCCACAAGTTCTCTATGGTATGTGGACGATTGGTTCAGAATAAAAAAGAAAGGGTGTTATTCAAATGTATGTGTGGTTGTCTATCCAGTGTCAGAAGGTCAGAGTATATTTCACTCAATGTTTAATGACTGTTTTTTATCAATACAGTTTGACTCTTTAAAAATGAAAGACATCTCTAGAAAATTCCTTTTTGAATAATTACTTCATGTGGCTAGATGACGGATATATACATATCCGAGAGCTCAGAAGAGCTGTAATGAGTTCACTTTTACTTTGATGCACTCCCCACTAGCAAGCTAATTTTATATCTAATGTGTCACCAACGACTTCTCTTTCTTTTATACAGGGTGTCCCAAAATTACATAGGAAGATTCCAACCACAGATTCTAGGAACAAAAATAGTAAAAAAAGGTTATATAAACATGAGCCCAGAAATTTCCCCCTAAGGAGTTATAACCATCTGAAAGAGGGCCCGAGATGATCGTTTTTTGTAAAAATTCCCGAAACCCTCTGTTTTGAGATAACGAAATTTCGTACATGTATATTTCATTTCATGCCCGATTTCAAATGTTGAGAATTTTCCGAAATTTTCATCAGGGGCGTGGGAAAAAAGTGAGGCTGAGGGTATTTCTTTCCTCAACTTTTTTTTTCTATGCAATTTTCAGCAGTGTGACCAGGAAATATGAAAATATTTTAATTTTTAACTAAAAATGATACACCTGTTCAGTTTCGATAGCACTCACAATTTTCGAAATGAATTGATTTCAAAAGCCTGCTGCGTAATAAGAATTGTACATTTTTTTCATAGGGTACCTACCATTATATTTCTCGGATTATTATTTTTATTATTCCCCTCATATTTTGAGTCAAACATCACAGGTAGATGTTGGAAAAAAAATGTTCTATCAAATAATAATTTTTGGGAAAAGCACTATCTTTGTTACGCAGCAGACTTAAAATTGATTTCTCTCGAAAGTGGTGAAGTGGTGAGTGCTATCGAAACTGAACGAGAGTATTTTTCATGAGTAAAAATTATGATATTTTCATATTTCCCGATCAAACTGCCATTGCAATGAAAAAAAGTTGGGGGAAGAAATGCCCCTGGCCCCACCTATTTCCCACGCCCCTGATCAAAATTTCAGAAAATTATCTCTACAAAAGATGCTTAGTTTGGGTGCTAGACGGCTCTGAAGTTACAATTTTCAAATTGTTTTTGCTTCATAACTTTGACACGGCTAATGAGTTTTCACTCACATCGGTACGTTGACATAGCTTCATTGGGCAATGAAACCCATATCATGATGTTGAATATCATCCCATGGGCGTAGAACTTGATTTTTACATGAAATAAACATCTAAAACTTCTACGGCAATTTGATTCAAATCTCATGAATTGTTTCAAAGTTTTTTAAGCAAGAACGATTTGAAACTAAGCCACTTGGTACTGGGGTAAATTTGCTTGTATCGGATTGTTTTGGTCTGAGCAATATGTGGTAAGTTTTTGTAAAGACCTTTCATGGACACCCTGTATATATGATGTAGTATCATTCCTTTTTTTGCGTTCTATTCAGATCCACTAGGTTCTCCACATTGTTTGAGACACCCTGTTTGTTGATTCAGGCCTGCATTTGTTGTATTATTTGTAGTTGATGTTTAAAATACATTATTTCTCTAAAAATTTAACTTGATGTGTAATCCCTTTTCTCGCACAATTTTTATTTTTAAGTGGATTAGTGATTTAGAGGGATGTATGTATATAAGGTTTTGCAGCTAAAATAGTATTTTTTGTAAGTAGATATGAGTACTTAATAAATGAATGATAATATACATACATGAATATTTTTTTTGAGAAGCATTTGGCAATATTGTGCTATGAAATAATATTAAGGAGAAATATCATTGATGCAATATTGACGGATTTTGTTTGTTTAATTCATGGAAATGTTGCAGTTTAGAAGTTAGTAGCTGTGATGTCGAAAAATAAGAACAAAAGGATGTTTAGGTTAGAAAAATTAGGCACTTTCTGTAATTTTTTTCTATTTCGTCAATTTCACGAGTTTTTCTTGGAAAAAAAGAGGTTAGGTCCCTATCAAGGTGTTTATAATTGTATTATCATTCTCGAAAAATATACAAAATATAATAGGAATTATATTTTCTCTTGTTTCCAATAAACAATTTTGTATTGTTGAATTTCAAACATATTTTTGTAAATATTTGTAGATAGTTTATTCTAAAATATTTACGTAATTAATTCATGTATTTTAGTTGTTGAACTTCAGAGCTCCATCAAGTTTTGTTGAATGAATTACTAACTGATAATAGACCTAACCTATGAACATGACTGTAAGAATGATTGCAAAGTTATAGTAACAGATTCTTCAGGAACTTATAGAAAGACTTGTAAAATGAAACGAATAAACCACTTCTTGAATGAAATACAAGAACTATTTTTGACAAAATACGTAACAAACACTGTTACATTCCAATAATTACTGTAATTATAATTTGTTTGTAACTCATGTTTTATAACCTACCAATGAATGGCTTTTTTGTGTGTTTAAAAAACAGAATCAAATAATCCGAATATCTTTAGATGTTGAAACCACAATAATTATGTAATACATCAATGTATATTAAATAATAATAATTACTTCCGACTATTATTCAAATATAATAGCCTCAGTTGCATCGAACGTGATTAGCTACATAGCGTTGAAAGCTTATTACATAGCTAGTGAAAAATGTTTCACAAATGATGGTATATCTTCAAAAGAAGTGCCCTCTGAACAGGCTATTAATCTTCGTCACACATTCGACTTGGAAGAATTGAAGAATGAATCACCCATATTTTCGCTTTGTTTGATGTCAATCTGGTTTCCGATATAAAAGCCCAAAATTCAGCATCATTTGCTCTAACTTCTAGATGTATGTACACTATATCTGAAATTCATATAGTAATAATAATCCAAGTCGTCTCCACAACGTATAATATCATCGAATCATAAAAGGAAAGGGGACATGTTTTGGATCTATAGAGTATCCATCATCAGCCAATTGAGAAATCATTGTAGAGCAGAACAAATTTTTGGAAACACATGAAGTTACAGAATTATTTTATGAAAATTTAAAAAACAGAAAATTCGTTTCTTGTTTTATAACAGGTTTTCTATAAACAGGCCCAATGAGCCAGTGGAATCGCCACATTAGGAGGCCGACTTGGAGTATCATTGCTATATGAACTACTTCACTCTACTTTTTTTTTATCGCTTGGATCGCGCGAAAGGAAATCGCTACAATGTTCAAAGAACATCGTGCGTTCCTAGGGAGGAAAGGGACAGAAGGTAGGTATTGGAATATTTTTTGAACTTCTGGAGATTATGTGTTGTTGGGAATACTTCCTCAGGTAATAAATTCCAGAGCCTAGCCGTTCTATGGATGAAGGAGTTTTGATAAAGTGCTGTTCGACATCTTTCGAGGTTGACAACATGGACTAATATAGTAGAATATCTGAAATTACAGTACCTACCATCTTTAAAAAAATTTTCCACCACTAGCTGTAGAACCTACCATTATTCACTTCTTTTCGAGGCGTAAAGTGTGTTTTACCACCAAGGTAGTTTTCGTCATTTTATGAACCACTAGTCAATAATGACATAGCCATCTCTGTTATAATCAACCCGAATTCACTGCTCTAATACGATATTCGCAGAAATGGGACTC